TTTTGCCAAAGAGGAATAAACCACTACAATCAAACCCAAAAATTTAACTTCATGAGCTGGGTACTACATTTTTTAATCTAAGATAAATTAATGGAGCAATCTCTTTATAATTCAAGAGCAAGAGAGAACGGATTACCAGCATAAGTGGTGACAACGAGCTCGTATTCTTTCCCAAGCTTGACGTCGGTAAGATCGACGAGGTCGTGCTCATCGGTAGAGTCGGGATTGGCGTTATTATTTCTTTGGACGGGAAGGAACTCGAAGTAGGCCATGGAAGGGATGAGAGTGTAAGCAACTTCACTTGGTTTACACAAAGGGTTAAGATTGACGCCAAAATAGCACTCGGAAGAAGCATACATGGTACAAACCAAAGGCAGCCCATTACTATAATAATCAAGCGTCCCAATGTACTGCGACATTGTCCCCGTAACAATCACATCAACATATTTGGTGTTCGGCCACAGCCTCCTAATAATTCCTGCCCACGAGCTCTTCTTGCACTCCCCTTCAATCAACTCAGCCAGCTCTGGCTCCGGCCTATGCAGGAGTGACATCACTGCTTCGCGCACGGCCTGATCCGTGATCTGTGCATTCAACGTCCCGGTCCGGATGTCGTGGCATAGAAGCTGCCAGTGCTTTTCTAGGAAGCGGATGGCGCGGATGAAGCCGGAGGCGAAGACGGCACCGACGCGGAGGACTTCGGCGCGCTGGCGGAGGCCGCACAGCAATTGGGCGTACATGCTTTGGTAGGAGTCAGGGCAGAGAATGGCCTCGTTGGGGCTGGTGTAATTGGTGTAGGGATCGTAAGGACGGTCCTTAAAGTGGGAGCTTTTGTAGTAGCTGGTCAAGACGGGGCGCGCCACGAGCCCGCCCGGGGTTCGGGACTCGGCTTTTATGAACAAAAAGTACATTCCTTTGCCCTTTTCCAGCCCTGGAACGAACTGGCTCATCACCGGCATTAGCAAGCTGTACAACAGCGAGCGCCTCTCCAGCTCCTCCTCGATCGTCGGCATCAGCTTCCTCTCGCCACCGGAAGTCCCAGAACTACACAAGCAAACAAACAAAAAAGAAAAGTTTAGAGTGACTCAGATGCTGAATCCATCCCAAGTCCAAGAGACCGAACAAGATTTAAATAATTTAACGCTTCATCTTATTGTCAATTGATTTTGAGATAAAATCTCATGGATATTGATAACAGTTAAATGAATTGGAGATGAACCTGGTTAAGAACTCGGAGATGGGGGAGGAGCAGAGNCAAATCCAAAAACTTATGCATTGGTATTGGAGGAAGTACCTGGTGAGGAACTCGGAAATGGGGGAAGAGCAGAGGATGGGAGAGGAGTCGCCATTGGCGATGCGGGTGATGTCAGGGTGGATGTGGTCGTAGGAGATGATAGGGATAGTTTTTTTGAATGTCTCTGGGGAGGAGTTGGGGCGGAGGCCGTGGCGGGTCAAGTACTCGGCGGAGGCGTTGCGGGAGAGGATTTCGGTGAGGACGCAGCGCTGGACTTGGTCGGCGTTGGCCGTGACGTCTTCGATGAATTGGATAGTGGCCTTGTTTTTCTCCAGCACCTCCTTCTGAGCTTCTTCTTCAACCTTGGCGTTCACACGCCTCTTTGGGGCTTCAGGCATTTTTTTCTTTTTCTTGGGTTTGTTTTTATGGGTTGGTTGTATTTTTCTCTTTCTTGTGAAGAGAGAGAGAGAGTTTGTTGGAAAAGGGAGAAGATGGGATTCTGCGTGGGGGAAAAAGAAGCCAAGAAAATGGGTATTTATAGACACAGAAAGGGCGCAGCTGTGAGTTAGAAAGCAAACAAGCATTACATGAAAGCCCACGTCTGGAAAACCATTCATCATCCACCACGATACCAAGCATTTATCTGACTTTGTTTATCGGGCAGTACCCACCTTTTTGGTGAATAAAAATTTGAAAGTTTTGAAAATATACGTATATTGTGTTACTTTTTGAATCGATATATATTTCTAATTGATATAGATAACTCAACCGTAATTGATATATATTTCTAATTAAGAGATTGTTAGTTCGATCTCCTACAACGTTGTACAAAAAAATTTAAAAATTAGAAATTAATTCAAATGATAATTTATTTCTTCTTCAAATTGAAAAGTGCAATGCTACTTTAAATATATTAAAGGAATAGGGTAACTTGTCTTCCTCTGACATAAAAGGAAGAAAGATGGTGAGTGAAGGAATTTTCCTTTTTCTTTCCTTTACACCCCATTTTTTTTGACGAGAAATGAGAAGAAAACCTTCAATTTTCTAAGTGGATAATTAAAGTGTGTTGTTTCTATTTAATTTTTAATTACAATTTTCTGTAGAGTTATGCTCAAATTTAGCATCTATTTGCAATTATTTCAGAAAAAAAAATTAATTGCTATATTTATAGTATGCCATTTAAAGTAGGATCTCCACACTACTATTAATTTATCATTCACTAAATTAAGATAATAACAACCAATAATGTCCAATCAATAAGAGTATGAAATTCAATATCTATAATTACGTGCCATACACAACAGATATTAATATTAATCAAACAAAACAATAATCAAATTTTAAACTCATAATCATAAATATATGTTATGAATTTAGAGCTTTAATCCAACGTTTAAATCTTTTTGTTACTTGTATAAAACAGAAATGGTTAAGTAGTCCACAAGTTTTGATGTTTATGTATATTTCGTCCATAAATTTTAAAACGTTGAATTTGTTTTACATCAATATTCAAACTAGCTTACATGCACTTTAGCTATTCTTACCGCACAAGAACCTAAATTTACTATTTTTAATTGTCAAGTAGCTCCTAGAATATTAAATCTTATGACTACCTACGAGGTCAGAACTCCAACCCTACTTCATTTGTTGATGAACTGATTAAGAAAGAAAGAAATAGTAAGTTTAGGTCAAGAAAACAGAATACCACATCAAAGGTCAGAAGTTCAATCTCTCTACATTCACCCGTGAACTAGGAAAAAAAATGAAATTCAAGTTAAAAAAAAAGCATTTCTTTTTTTTAAATTTTTTTGTTTTTTTTGGGGGTAAATTGGAGTCTCAAGAAAAAAGAAAAAACCGGCAATATCCGGTAAACACGCAGTGGTTGTACTGGTTACATGCGTGCTTGTAGGTGGGGTGTCGTAGGAAATAGCGGCAGCCACTTCATTATTTGTGTTTAACGTTAAGCGTTACTGTGTGTTTAACCGGAAAAGGGAAAAAAAATAAAAAAAAAACGGCGTTATTTATAATTTTATATAATAAGAGACACGGTGAAAATTATCGCGAGATATGGAGCGAGTCAATGAAGCGGGAGAAGAATTATTTAATAAATAAATAAATAATAATAATAATAGTATGCGTGGTTGTGTACGGTAGATAACTGGGGAGTTTCTTGTTGAAGTATCGAAGTGGGGCCCAGCCAGCTGGCCACCTAACTTGTAAGGTTGACACGTGCACGAATGTGGACACTGTGGCTTCACGCTTCCCACGGCTGCACCCCCCTCCTCCATTTCCTCTCCCCCCTAAAACATCGCCTTTTTTTTCTTTTTTTCTTTAATTTTCTTTTCTTCCCCCAATCAACACGAATCATATGCCTCTTTCTTTTTCCTTTAATTATTATTATTACGTTTAATATTCTAAAACATTACAAGAAAAAAAAAATATTATATATAATATTCATCGTTGGAGTTTTATTATCTACTTTTGATTTTTTATGTTAAAATTTAGGATTGCATGTACAATAGTGTATCTGATCTACTTATATAATTGTTGATCGGGAGAAATTCTCACTTCGATCATTTATATAAAACGGTTTGATGTATTATTTAATTATTGTATTGGGTCATATAAAAAAAGTTTGATGTATTATTTAATCATTGTATTGGGTAACACATTTGGTTACATAGATCCTGCTTTATACCTAATAAATTTATTGTACCTATGAAGAGGATGTGTCTGATTAATAAAATCTATTTTTTTAATGATTTGTCGAAAGTGTGTTAATAAAACAATAATGTAATGACTTGTTAGTTTTTTTTTTTTAACAAATTTTAACATTTTTTTTACGGAAGGACTTATAATTAAGGATTTTCAAACCATAAATGTCCCGTAGAAATATTGAGAATTTAGATTTTTAAAAGACTAAGAACTAAAGTGAGAATTATCTAAATGGTTAGCGAGCATTTGATATATTTAGTCAAAATTTTAGGGCCGAGATGATTTTGTTTCAAATTTTTTATTTTTAAAAATTAATTATATCGAAACTACTTATATTTGTTTTTTTTTTTTAGTTTTTAAAAGAGTGAATTAAAAAAATTGAAAATGATTAATTTTTCTTTTAGTTTTCAAGATTTTTTTTACATTTCAAATATATCTTTCAAGTAGATTAGAAAAGAAAGAAAAATATTAATAAATAAAAATAATTTTTATAAATAAATAATACAAAACAAGAACTTTATCAAATGTAACTTTAAGATACTCTTCTCAAAAATCAGGTCAAACCCACCTTTATTAATATGTTAAAGGTAAGACTATTATTTTTATGGTAGGAATGAAAATATAATTTAGTGGGAGTTGAATAATTAAAATAAAAAAAACTTCTAAAATTTAAAAAACCAAAATATAAATATAAAGTAACAAAAGTTTTTAGAGAAATAAAATAAATAAAGTACAAAGACGTAGACTTTTTTGTTTACTTTTAATTTTTTAAAATTGAATATTAGATGAATTGTTATTAATTATGAATTAAGCTTTTGTGAATTAAGTTGTTATCATTATGTTTGTTATTCATTCTAGAAGGTCAAATAATCAAGCTTCTAGAAATGTCATTATTTAGCTTATCTTTTTTTTAATAATAAAAATAAATTATTTAATACATTATCGCCAAACATATAATCTGTTTTTTATAATATAGCCTTTTAAGTCGAATTGTCCATAAATAGTTAAAAAAAAAAAAAAAGTTTCTTCTAGATAGTTCTGGGTGTACTGGAGTAAATGAAAGCTTATGGATGTCTTGATTTAATTACCTACGTCAAATCAGAAAATAAAATTCAAAATGTTATCTTACCGACAATTTTAATTTCTTAATTAAAAGATTTGAACTATAAAAGTCCTTCTTTTTTTAATATGTAGAATTAAGATTCGACGCTACACGGTGTGAATTTTCATATTTATTGCGAGATGGATATTGCTTCCAATTTATTAATTATTTTAATTAGTTTAAAATAGTTTGCCAAAATATGCACAATTCAACAATTAAGGTTTTCTTGCTCTTTTCCTAGAATTCAGGTTTAATTTCATCCCTAAAATACTTCAAAATTATATATATGTAAAATTAATTGCAATTAAACCACAAATGTCAGAGCTTTTCAACTTTGAGAAATTGTCCTACTTTTAACTCATGGTAATTATAAATTTTACTAAATTACTAGAGAAAGATATTATTTGAATATGAATGTCATTATGATATCCTATAGATTTACATTAATATTATTAGGAGGAGTATATTGTAATATTGTTCTAATTAATTAGAGCAGTTATATTGTACCGTTTATTCATTTATATGGATTCTAACCGATGTCATGAATATTTTAATTCTATTTATGATGGTTATAACAATTCAAAAGGTTTTACAACTCAAGCAAATAAAAGCATACTTTTCCTTTAGATCAAACGTTGCACTCAAATTGTTTAGAATATTTATATAAAAAGATTCAAACTACAATCATACAAAAGCTTATTAATACTTTGATCACACTTCAATCATGTTCAAATAAACCCTCAAATATTTATTATGATGACATATTAAACCATTTTCCATACAAAACTTCTATTAAATGTTTCTTACAGAAAATTTTACTTATTCAAAAAGGTAAACGAGAGAAAATTTGATTAATTTTTTTTGGGTGAGTATACATAAAAATGAAATATTAACTTAAAATTGCCCACAAATATAGTTTTGGGTCACATTAATGTAATAATAAAGAAAATGATTAGAGAGAACAAAAAATTTATAAAGAAAAAAGAGCCTTAGCTGGAAGGCAAAATCTTTGATAATTGTTATCTAGTAAAATGTGGAGCCAATGTCAATTGTGTAGATGAATAGCTTGAGTTTGACTTTAGGAGGCTATGAAGCATGAATTCAATTGAAAAATAAAAAGCTCAGTGCCATAACGTTTTTGCTTTTTGTTTCTCATTTTACTAAGAAACCAGCTAACTATTAGGAGTATGGCTCATTGGTATAAAGATACTAAAGTAAATTGAAAGAGATTGGGTTAAAATCGCATATGATGATCACCTACTTTAGAAATTAATTTCTATGTGTTTCTCGTTACCAAATATTAGGTTGTGAGTTCAATCACCCACTCCCACATGTTGTATTAAAAAAACAAAAACAAATTAAGTTTATTGTTTATTGTTCCGGTTTTCAATTTGTTCCAAAACATAAATAAAATGTTGTTCTATCATTTTTTTTTTTTTGATTCATGGGTGTTGAGGGCATGTAATTCTATTTTTCTAATTAAAAAAAAAAAGAGAACGTTATCAAATGGATTCATCAAACAAAATATCATACCCGTCAAAAATTGGACAAAGCTAAGTGGATCTAAGTAGGCTAATAAAGTTTTCAATACCCAAATAATTTGAGGTTTATCCAACTTTGCTTTTAAAAAAATCCATCATTTTAAAGGATATTGTTTGTACTTTGGAGAAATA